ATGCTACTGCCTCCAAGGATGGAAAAGGTCACAATGGTGAGAATGTAGTAAATGTAGAAGACTTGTATAACAATGAGATCATTACTAATGTGGTACCTGGTATTGCAAGAAGGCAAAAATCCAGGAAAGTGAAGGATGTAAGTGTCACACCCCTGCCAAAACAACCAAAAAGAAAATCATGTATGGACCCCTATAACCAAGAAGTAAAGCGCTTCCTCCCTCTAGAAAAAGAAAAGTTAGACCTGTTAGCTCCATAGATGATGATGAGGATGTTGTAAAAAGATCCAAGAGTAAGAAGAAAGTTGTGGTTGTTGAAGAAGTTGACTCAGACTATAATGTCAATCAAGATGTCCATGACATCTCTCCTATCAAAAAGTCTGCAAGCAAGAAGATATCTGTTAGGGTTCCTGATGCCCCACTTGACAACATCTCCTTCCATTCTGTTGGGAATGCTGAAAAGTGGAAGTATGTGTATCAAAGAAGGATTGCCTTGGAGAGAGAATTGTGAGTTGGTGCTCTAGAATGAAAAGAAATCATGGATTTGATATCTTATGTTGGACTGATGAAAACTGTTACCAGGTTTGCCAATTTTTATGAAACTCTTGTTAAGGAGTTTATTGTTAATATTCCTATTGATTGTGCTGACCATAAAAGTAAGGAGTATAGAAAGGTTTTTGTTAGAGAAAAGTGTATAAAATTTTATCCTGCCATCATAAATAGATTTCTAGATAGGTCTGAAGATGTCTGATGTGAGCTGGAAGTTACAGATAATCAAGTGTGCAGAACCATCACTGCTAATCAACTAAGTAGTAGCCCATGAAAAATAAACTTCCTTTCAGCAAACTGAGTGTGAAATATGCAATTTTACTTAGGATTTGAGTTGCAAATTGGGTTCCCACTAATCACACTTCAACCATCTCCATTGGATTAGGAAAATTCATTTATGCTATTAGAAACCTGAAACTTTTTGATTATGGGACTTACATATTTGATCAGACCATCAAACATGCAGGAACTTGTGCCATTAAGATGCCAATTTCCTTTCCTTCCCTCCTCTGTGGAATTATCCTTAATCAACATCCTGGAATCCTAAGTGGAAATGATGTAGTATGCAAGAGGGAGTCTTCCTTGACCCTTCATTTTAAGCTCTTTTCAGGAAAACATGTCTCAGACATTGTTTTAACATTTGCACCTGTTGAGAAGACCTCCACCAAGGATGATATGATCAAAGAATTAAGAGAAGCCTACAAGGAATTGGATGATGTGATAAGAGTTATCTCAATAAGGAAGCTAACCTTTGAAAAGATGATCAAGGACCTGCAAAAGGAAAGCAACCTTGATGATACAGTGAACTCTGAAGGTGAAGACTCTACTGAGGAAGAAAGTTCTGGATCAGACAAGTCAACTGGTCCTGATGACATTTAGACTAATTGATGTTTCTTTATATGATCCTTTTGTTTCCTTTTAGCACTTTCATGTGCTTGACATTTGAATTCTATGGCCTGTACCCTAATTCTGATATTCTCTTGAATGCATCCTTATATTTGGCATATTATGACTAAAAAGGGGGAGAGAAAGTGAGTGAGTGACTGACTAGCCACTGACCATTGATTGAGGGGGAGCTCAATAGTTGAGGGGAAGCCTCATGTCTCAGAAGATGTTTTGACATCTTCCTTTTCTAACAGCTAACTCCTAACTGAGTTTATGTTTTGATTCCTTGCTTATGCTGCTGCTCTGATAATGCTCTGATAATGTTTTAGCCAAAATTTGCCAAAGGGGAGTTTGTAAGTGTTTGTTGGCATCAATTTGGTAAAACAATGTGCTGTTAATGTTTTGCTAAATGTCTTGACATTTGTAGCAAACTATTTTGAATGATGTCAAAGCATATGTCTTGACATCTGCCTCCTGAACTGATTTCAGCCAACATTAGTATATGTTTTTATGTTTCGTGATTTCCAGCACTTCATAATTCAAGATTTGTAACTCACAGGCAGCGAAAAATATGGAGGAATATTTTTCAAAATGCATGGATTTTATCTTGACCTGTTTTTATGGAAATATTCAAAAGAATTGAATATTTGGTTTTAGAGCCCAAGCCCACAGCTGCGCATATATAAGGACTTGTTTCCTTATTCAAACGACTGCAACTTTTAAAGAAGAATACTTTCTTTCTGTTTTAAAAAATCTAAGTCTTTTAATTGTCAAACACTCTAGTATTGATAGAATACTTGTGTTGTTATTTGGGTTGTTAATTATGTATCATTTATAAGCTTTTAAGCATTGAATGATTGATTTTTTTAAAACTTATTAATTCTGTTGTTTCTTCACTGTAAGTGATTGAAGGGATTTGAGGAGGGCCTCATACCTAGGTGAGTCTTAGGTAGAAGTATAGCACGAGTAGTGATTAAGTGATTAGATCGTAAACTATTTGTTTACTGAGGGTCTATGAATTTATACTATTTAGTGGACTTGTCCCTGGCTTGGTAGCTCCCAGAGTAGGTGTTGTTATACACTAAACTGGGTGACCAATCTCTTGTGTTTTTACTGCTTTTGATTTTACTGCTCTTTACTTGTAAGCAGATATTTGTGTCGTGATATCTCATTCGACATCACATATCTGATATAAGAATTTCACTACCCCCTTATTAGGCATGAGATCTCCTTATCTCATTCTCTACAAAACTATTCCTGAGTATAAGTCCCTTAAAGCATTTGGATGCGCCTATTTTCCCCACCCCAGACTCTATTCTGCTCACAAATTCAAAATCCACTCTCAAGAGTGTGTTTTTCTGTGGTACTCTCCTAATCATAAGGGATACAAGTGTTTGGCTCCCACTAGCAGAATTTATATCTTTAAGGACGTTGTCTTCAATGAGGCAAGATTTCTCTATCCATCTTTGTTTGCTCCTGATGCAACTTCTTCTTCTACTACCTCCCCCCAACACTACTTACTCTATTTTCCCACTGGTCTCATATTCCAAGCACTCCCACAACCTGTACCTCTTACTGCCATCCCTATTTCTTCTAATTCAGCACCTGGTACTCCCTCACATTCCTCTTCTTCCAATCATCTACCTATTTATGGTCCTGCTCAAACCTCTGATGTGGCCTCCCTAAGTCTCTCATCACAAACTTATATTTCATCTATGCCTCAAGTCTCATCAGAATTCTCTCCTACTAACACTCATAAGCTTGACCTCCCTTTTATTCATCCTTAAAATACTCATACCATGAAAACCAGGGGCAAGAGTGTTGTAGTTTAACCAAGACAACATCCTACCTTACTACTAACTGAGCTAGAACCTTTTTCTTATAAGGTTGCTCTCAAAGATCCCAAATGGATGGCTTTTATGCAAGAAGAATACATAGCCCTCATTAAGAATCACACCTGATATCTCACTGCTCTACCTCAAAATAGGCTGGTTATTGGCTGCAAATGGGTGATCAGGATCAAGTAGAATCCTGATGGGACAATTAACAAATACAAAGCTCGTTTGGTTACCAAATGATTCAATCAACAACATGGCTTTGACTTCACTGAGAAATTTTCTCCAGTGGTTCAACCTGTCACAATGAGGATTGTTCTGAGTATTGCTATATCAAAAGGACGGTCCCTGACTCAGTTGGATGTCAATAATGACTTCTTAAATGGCATCCTTCAAGAGGAAGTGTACATGGAGCAACCTCCTGGTATTGAGACTACTACACCTAATATGGTTTGCATGTTATACTACACCTAATATGGTCTGCATGTTAAATAAAATCCTATATGGGCTTAAACAAGCTTCAAGGGTCTGGTTTGAAAGGTTACATCTTGCACTTAAGGAATTTGGCTTTGTCTCAAGTAGGTGTGATCCTTCCCTCTTTACTCTCATTACTTCCACCTATACTATCTACATGCTAGTCTATGTAGATGATATTATTGTCACTGGAAATTCCCAACCTTACATTCAATAGCTCATTCAAAAACTTAACTCACAGTTTGCCCTCAAGCAACTTGGCAAACTTGAGTGTTTTCTGGGCATTGAACTCACACACCATACAAATGGTTCTCTATTTCTCTCCCAAACCAAATATATAAAGGATTTTCTCTCAAAGACAAATATGGCTGAATCAAAAGGGTTGCCCACACCTATGATTACTAGTTTAAAAATGTCAAAACATGGGACAAATGTGCTTAAAGTTCCTACTTTCTACAGATCTATTGTTGGGGCCCTTCAGTATGCTACTCTCACAAGGCATGCAATACGTTTTTGCTGTCAATAAAGCATGTCAATTTCTCTCCAACCCTCTGGAGATTTATTGGACAACTGTGAAAAGAATTCTTAGGTATGTAAAGGGCACATTGCATCATGGTCTTCAGCTACAACCTACTTCTACTCAGGCTCCTGTCTCCATTAAAGGGTTTTCAGATGTAGACTAGGGATCTGATCCTGATGACACGAGATCCACCTCTGGTTTCTACATCTTCCTTGGCCCTAATCTAATTTCCTGATAGTCCAAAAAGCAAATCTTAATGGCAAGATCAAGTACTGGATTTCAATGTCTCTTAACTGATTTTAAAATTTCTTTCACCACTCATGTTAAATTTTGTGACAACTTGAATACTGTTACTATGTCGGATAACTCCATTCTACATGCAAGATAAATAGGAATAGTCAATAAACTTGATATTTAGCGTGCTGATTTTCTTTTTCCAATCCCGTTAGTTAATTAGTCTTATTATATTACCGACCTATGGTTAATCCCAAGTTATTATCATCATCATAAGATTCTACAGTGCTATCGAGAAATAAAAAAAAAGAATAAGAAAATAGCAAGTAGAGTATCTCCGTGCAATTTCTTATCTAGTGTTGTTTTTCTTTTCTTTCTTGAGAATGTTATTGAAATTATTATCATTAACTATTACATAAAGACTCAAAACACTATTTTTCTCCCAATTAAAAATTTTCAGTTTCTATTTCATGATTTGAACAGTACTACTACTACTACTGAACAAGATGGGTTGCAATCAATCTAAGATCGAGAATGAAGAATCAATTATGCGATGCAAAGAGCGGAAGCGATTCATGAAAGAGGCTGTATCAACTCGCAACGCCTTCGCCGCCGCTCACTCCGCCTACACAACTTCCCTCAAAAACACCGGCGCCGCCCTAGGCGACTTCGCACACGGCGAGGTTCAGAATCCTGGATTAATACCTACCGCTGCCGGTGCCGGTGCCGGTGCCGGTGGTGCTGATGCCACTTATGTACCGGGACCGCCTCAAAAACCCTTCGAGATCCCTCTCCCTCCGCCTCCTCTTCCGGATTTCTCATCGCCTCTTCAGCGTGCGGCCAGTATGCCGGAAATCAAGATCAGTAAGCCCGATCCCAGGCCGATGTCCAAGCCGATTCTCGAGGAGGAGGAAGAAGAGAGGGAGTTGGAGAATGAAGGTTCTCTGAGGAGAAGAAGAAGTAACAGAAACACTGTTGCTGTTGGTGTTGGTGGTGGAGGGGGTGTGAATAGTAATAGACGGTTGGAGGATGAAGATGTGGCTCCACCTCCTATGCCACCTCCTCCGGCGAAGCAACAACCGGTCAGTGATCATGTTGGTAATCAAGGTCATCATCATCATACCATGTCTCAACCGCACCAAAACTCAGCTGCTTGGGAGTATTTTTTTCCACCCATGGAAAACATGGCAGGAACAAGCTTGAATGAGGAGGCTGAAATAGAACACGGACACACTGTCCATAAGATGGAGCATATTGCAAGGCCTGGTAGGGTTCATGTTATGGAAGAAGTTGTTTCAACTCAAAGGGTTGCTGATGTTGAGATTCAGGTTCCTTTGCCTACTCGTGAGCCTGAGCATATACCTGAGCCTGAGGTAATGATGGACTCTCCCATGCCATCGGGCTTGAAGGTGAAGCAGATGCCCGCCACGCCTCCTCCTCAGATGGAGGCAAAGAGGATTGTGAAACATAGCACTGTTAACTTGCTGCAAATATTTGCTGATCTCGATGATCATTTTCTCAAGGCTTCTGAGAGTGCACAGGATGTTTCAAAGATGCTGGAGGCTACTAGACTTCACTATCACTCCAATTTCGCTGATAATAGAGGTACTAACTTGTTATCTTTCTTTCTATATGGACTATAGGAAATTTCAAAATTAAGTGCTTTTCCATTGTTTCTTCAGCCGCGTCAATCTTGAGGTCACCATGCCCTACTGCATTATTGTTTCATGTTATCAACTTTTAACTTCTGATTTTAAGACAAATTGATGGGAATGGTGTAATAATGGTATTGCTTTTTGACTGTATTCATAGCTAGTTTGTTTTAAAAAAGAGAGGTTCAATCTATGTGTGAGTTCTATGTATTTTGTTTCTTCATAGAGTGGATAGACTTCATTGTATGTATTGCATTGTTTGGTTTCGCCGTATAAGGAGAAGATATGAACAAACACTAGTTATTAGGGTGTCGATAAAATAGAGGATAGTACTATAGTTAAAAGTGAAAGAATTATTAGACGCCATAAAGAAGGATCTAGATTCAAATGATTTTTCATTAGACGCTATTTATGTTATTTGTTTGTGTCACTTAGTTTATGTAGTTTACCTTGATCCTCCTAGCGATAAAATATTTTTGTTGTTGTTTAGTATATGTTTCATATTGAATTATATTTATGCTTAGCTTTTTTGTATACATTTCTCTTGCAGGACACATTGATCATTCAGCAAGGGTAATGCGAGTAATTACTTGGAATCGATCCTTTAAAGGAATACCTAATTTGGATGATGGGAAGGATGACTTTGACTCAGACGAACAGGAAACTCATGCTACCATCTTGGACAAGTTGTTAGCTTGGGAAAAGAAACTTTATGATGAAGTTAAGGTAAGTAGACTGAGTCAAACGTTTGGTAATAGGAGTTTTAATTATGAATGTGTCAATGCAGGAGTTCTGTAAGATCAAGTTGGCTTTTAATTTTCTGAAAAAGTCATGCCACTTTACTTGTCAACATAAACATATACATCTTCTAAGCTTAGTTTCTATTTTCTCCGCCTGCTTAATATTTTTCTACTATGTTTCTGCTTATTGGTTCAACATGCAGCCATGTATGAGTTTGTAATCATATGTATCTATTTTTTCTTGTTCTTTTCTGAATTTTCCACTTCATATAATGTTATAGGCTGGTGAGCTAATGAAATTTGAGTACCAAAGAAAAGTTGCCACACTAAACAGACTGAAAAAGAAAGGTACTAACTCTGAAGCATTGGAGAAATCAAAAGCAGTTGTCAGTCATTTGCATACTAGATATATTGTGGATATGCAATCATTGGATTCAACGGTATCAGAGATTAACCGATTACGTGATGAACAACTGTATCCAAGACTTGTTCAGCTTGTAAACGAGTAAGTTATAAATTATAGAAATTAGTTTTTTAATTTCAATTGTCTAGAAGTGCTTTTTCTCTGCTAATTTTGATATGCTTTTTCTATGGACTGCAGGATGGCCAATATGTGGAAAAAAATGCTATCTCACCATGAGAAGCAATCGGAGACTGTGACATTGCTGAGATCGTTGGACCCTTCACAATCTCCTAAGCAGACAAGTGAACACCATCACGAGCGAACATATCAACTATTGGTTGTTGTACAACAGTGGCATTCACATTTTGAGATGCTAGTCAACAATCAAAAGGGATACATAAAGGCCCTAACTAATTGGTTAAAATTAAATCTTGTCCCTATTGAGAGCAGTTTGAGGGAAAAAGTTTCTTCACCTCCAAGAGTTCAAAGTCCGCCGATACAAGGTCTTCTCCGTGCATGGCATGACTGTCTAGAGAAACTTCCCGAAGAACTTGCTAGGACAGCTATAGGAAACTTTGCTGCTGTGATGGATACTATTTTCAACCAGCAAGAAGATGAGATGATTTGTAAAAGGAAATGTGAAGATACTCGAAAGGAGCTTGCTCGCAAAACCAAGCAGTTTGAGGATTGGTATCACAAGTATATGCAAAGGAAAATGCCGGAAGAATTTGATCCAGAAAAGCCAGAAGATGCTAATGCTCCTGATGAAGCTGTTACAGAGAGGCAGCATCAGGTTGAACAAGTGAAGATTAGGTTGGAAGAGGAGGAAGCACAATATGAAAAGCAATGCCTCCAAGTGAGGCAAAAAACTTTGGGAAGTCTCAAAAATCGCATGCCAGAGCTCTTCAGGTCAATGTGTGATTTTTCTCTTGAATGTTCTAAAATGTACATGCATTTATCTTCAATATCACAGCACCTAGGCCATAACTCCTCATGAAGTGTGATTTGTGTATTATTTTATGCTTATTTTTTGTGAGTAAATTATTTTTTTCTTGGACATGTTTATGATATTACTCTTGAGATATCCTGATTTGAGGATAAGCCCGGAAGATTAGTTACAATAATGATATAAATAAATTCTATTTGAATTTCGATATAATTGCTAGGAATGGAAATTGAATGGATTGTTGCCCTTGTTGTAAATTGTTAATGCTCCATGTTCTATCATACGCTATGCTGTGCTTTTATAATAGAAAAAGCCAAGTCTAATTTAAAATCGAATGGTGGGCTATCAAACTTATATCTTGTGTGAAAGCTTCATGCGAAAGGATCCATTGCCGTCATTTTTTGTAGTTTTAAGAACAATCATTTACTGTATTTTGAATCTATCAGTTTTTGAGTTTGCTAATTGTTAGGGAGGTAAAAACTTAGCTCATAACAAAATAAGGTGTACTGAAAATTAATCAACAACACAAGTGTTTTCATTACATTGCAGTTATTCAGAGATCAATGTATTACAAGAAGCATTTAGGGTTTAGGATCAAGGGCAATTTCTGACTTGATGATTACATTGGAATATCACGATGAGCAACAAAAACGCTTTCTCCCACCGTCTTGTATTTCACTTTTTAGATTTATTCCAGTAGGCTTTGATGGAAAAGCTTTTGCTAGTCTCCTTCCTGCATTATCACACAGAAACAACCACTTAAAAATACAGTCACAGATGCTTTATTTCCTTACACTATTTATTGCGTATGCCGCATACCTATTTCATAGAAAAGTTCATTGATGTTCTCAGCAGTTTTAGCAGATGTTTCCATGTAGAACATTCCATTTTCTTGAGCAAATTGATCTCCTTCCTGCATTAGTATAATTTACTCAAACAACTTACAAGGAAAATTAGAAGGAAATACAGATCTGTCGCAATGCTGTAATGGAAACTACCTCAGTTTCAACTTCCCGCTTTGGCTCCAAGTCACATTTGTTTGCTACTAATGCCATCACCAACTTCTGATTTCCTACAAAGGAAAGTGATTATCTTACATGGTTTTACTCTACTGCATATGAATTTGTTAATTTCCTGTGTTTAAAGTATTATTAGTTTATTACCATGTCTCTGCAATTCCTGAACCCATTTTTTTGCTCGAACAAATGTATCCTGAAATAGAAATTCAGATCATAACAACATTGTCGATTATAATTCAAGTTTAACTAAATGAATGCTTACAATGCTAGAGATGTCATAAACAACAATTGCTGCTGCTGCTCCGCGATAATACATAGGAGCTAAACTATGATATCTTTCTTGTCCTGCTGTGTCCCATATGTCAAACTTTACGGTCGCCTCAGATAACGATAATATTTGTGTGAAAAAAGCAGCTCCTATGGTTGGTTCCTATGTGCAGAATGCAGTTTAATCAATATTAAGGTTACTAAAACTCTTTTGATGATAATAAAATTAAGGTTACTATTACTAAACCTGGTTTTGATAGAATTGGCCTTTAACAAATCTTAATGCTAAACTAGTTTTTCCTGTTCCCATGTCTCCTAGAAGTACCTACAAGAAGAATCATAGAAATTCTATAAATCTGTAACTATGATCCTGATTAATAAACACATTTCTATATGAAACATTTACCAAATTAAAAACTATAGACTTGAGAAAAATCAAATCAATCAAGGTAAGACATACCTACCAGCTTGGCTTGAATGATCTTATTCCCTGGTCTTGACATACCAATAAGTTGGGAAAGATTTTGCAGAAGTTGCAGAAAATTGGTGATGAAATTTTTAATGTGAAAGAATGTACTGTGTAGATCAAAGAAACTACTAGCTGCATTTATCATTGGAAATTTGTAGATAATAAGGTAAGAGACTGGTAGTTTTGACTAAAGTTGACTGGTAGTTAGTCATATGTTGTGTTCTTATCCATTATACTATACATCATTCAAGAAATTAAGCAATGTTGATTGGATTTGGTAGTGCTAATAAATTGCAAATTAACATGCTGATATACGTCTGAACAAAGATGGAAATAAAGGTTTCTAATATCACAAGGATTCTATGTCTATGAATCCATAGTCTCCTAGCTAGTTGAACCAAAATAGTTCCATAAAAATCAAACTCATTTACCTTCAACCATGCACGTGTCTTTTTCAAAATGAAGTTTAATTAAGAGTGTGATCTAGAGGCCCTACTTCATTTTCAACTTAACTTAATTCATTGATGAGTTTTGCAAGTCATCTATATACATTGAAGGGTAACAACCATCCAAAATCATAGATAGCTATTAGCTAGTCATCCAAAATCATAGATAGCTAGTCATGTAATATAATTTTTATATATTTCAAAGTTGTAAATTTATAATAGAAAAATAAACTAGTTTAAATAGAGATATATTTAAATCTAACGAACTTACGTAATGTACCTTATACTAATACAATAAATAATTATAAGTGTTAATATTTTCAACACACTGTCTCAAATAACTGAATGTTTATCAATCATTTCAATCTTATAAATATGTTGGTTGAATAGTTATATTGGTAGATCATTTGTTAACTCATCTATCAACTGATGTTCATAAGGTATGTAAGTGGTAGTTATTAATCTATTATCCAATTTTTGGTAGTTATTAATCTATTATCCAATTTTTCTTTGATGAAATGTCACTCCTCGAAATTGCCCCTACATCAATCTTCCCTTTGATTCTCAACACCCCCCCTCAAGTGTGAGTCACAATGCTCACAATGCTCCACATCGATACAAGTAAGTCGGTCCCTATCTCGAAACCAAAAGCTCATGATACCACTATAAGGGCAAGAGCATTTTACTTGGGACACACTTTTGTGAGAGACACACCACTTGTCCATCTAAAACTTTAAGGTGATAGACGAGTGGGTTCTCTCACTTATAAAGTGCTCAATCTTCCCTTTTATAATCAATGTGGGACTTCTTCCTCACACTTGATTCTCAACATTCATTCTCAAGTGTGAGTCCAAATGCTCCCCCTCATGTGGAATGACTCTCTTCCACATACACTTGTACCAAGGTTTTAGATGGACAAGTGGAGTGTCTCTCACAAAGGTGTGTTCCAAGTAAAATACTCTCTCCTCGGAATTGCCCGTACAGTGGTATCAGAGTCTTTGGTTTCGAGATAGGGACCGACTTACTTGTATCGAGCGGTGGTACAAGTGTATGTGGAAGAGAGTCATTCCACATGAGGGGGAGCATTGTGACTCACACTTGAGGGGGAGTGTTGAGAATCAAGTGTGAGGAAGAAGTCTCACATTGATTATAAAAGGGAAGATTGAGCACTTAACTCACTCATCTATCACCTTAAGATTTTAGATGGACAAATAGTGTGTCTCTCACAAAGGTGTGTCTCAAGTAAAATGCTCTCTCCTCGGAATTGCCCATACATCTTACTCTTTCAAACAATAAGGTTACCACACAAAAATGTACAATAGCCTGAAGTATATTTTCTTTCAATCAATGTATATGTACAATCTTTGATGACAATTCTAGCAAGTGTAGAGTCTTGTCGATGTAATACAATTAATTCCTCTCCACATGTATTGTAAATTTAACAAGGTAATAATAATGTAATTTAAAGTAAATAATAAGGGGGATTTTCAATATTGTTTTGGTTACGAAAACAAGATAAGAAACTTGTTGGAGTAAAGTCTGATAGTGAAAGGCGATTAGATATTTATTTTGAATTCTCTAATTATACATGTTGATGAATTATGTATCAATTGAATTACAATTACACTATTATCTTACAACGAATTAATAAGACCATTGTATCCAATTCCTTGACGTACAACTCACTAATTTACACAATAATTCCCTAATTTCTTAAGTCAATTCAGAGATAAACTAAGCGTTCTAAATTCGTTAATTCAAAAGCCACAATTTATAATTACATATTCCTAGTTATACTAAGTTGAACAATTACCATAGATCGGATCGATAAACTTACAATCAATAACCCCTACTCATCTAATATCAGTTTGCGCGCTTGTTAACATACAAACAACATTAAGATCAAGAATAATTAAATAATGATAATAACATAAAAGCATTCAATAAATCTCAAACAATCATATGACCCAACAAAATACAAAAAGATTCATCTCAACCGGCCTAATCTAGAATAATTTAACAACTCATAGAGAATTTAATAATTACCATGAGTTGATAAGAATTCATCATAAAAAATCACACTGGATCTCACGTTGCTATGGGCCACAGAATATTGGACTTTGGTCAGAATTTTAGCATGCCACCCTCCATTTGGGCTCATACCCCCTCAGGCCCATTTCTTTTCACCTCTTCTATTATTTTTTATTTAATTTCTTTTTTTGTTCTAATTATTTCAAAACAAATCAATGTTTTTTTTATTAAAATCACAAAATAAAAAAAAAATCACAAAAAATAGGATTTAGTCTTTATCTTTTTAATAAATTAATTCTTTGCAAATTAATTATTTTAATTAACTTTAATTTTTGTTTCATTAATTAAAATTAATTAGAAAAGTTAGGTTTAAACTTCAAATCTTTTTTTCATAAAATCCCAAAAAAATATTTTTAACAATCAAATTAGATTTCTAGGGCTTTTGAACTTTTATCCGGTTAATTCTCGTGCGTAATTACTTTTGCCATACGATTAATTTTTACTATTGATGTAACTGTACCCGGTTTGTAATAGTTTAATTAGGATTTTTCAATTTCGCATTTTTACTTTTCAGTCATTAATTATGTAATTGCACCAAAGCCTTGTAATATTGTTCGCAGTGATTTTTGGCGAAACAACCGCTAGTCTTTTAAACAAATTTGATATGTATGGTTACTCGCAGGATCGACTAGATTGATCCTAGGACATGTGTCTTAACGTTAATTGTAACACTTACTTGACGGTTTATGTTAAACACGACGTAGTGCTTGTGCATGTGTTTGTGTAAAGGCTTTAAAATACAAAGACTTCTGGAATTAA